ACGCACTCTGGCCCTGCAAATCGATATTGCCGTGTGGGCGGCGTTCGGCCCTACCGTAAGATTCGGCCCACTTTCGGAGCGAATTTCAGGCTTGGACGTTAGACCCCCTTTTTCGCTCCGAACTTTAGTCATCCCTTAGGTAGGGGGTCTACTATCACATCATTACGAGAGCCAGATACCCCCAGTCTGGTGGGACACTGCCTTTAAGGAAAAGTTAAATTTTTTTCAAAGCGGGTTTCACCAAATTTTGTAAAAGTAGTATCCCCAACAAAAACGTAGGGCTTTCCATGGTCACGAAGATGGGTGAATTCACCATTGCTCATTTGAGCTCTCTCAGTTCTTTTCCTTCTTCTAAACGCTTTTCTGCAATCATACGTTAGCTTCAATTACCTGTAACGATTCTAAAAAATATGAAGGTTGTTAGCCTGGACGCCTTTGTAATCCTTCTTAAGCACTGGCGCAAACACACTTGACCTTAGCGATCATGCACAGCTTTATACTTTGATAATGTCTCCCAAAACATAGAATCATTTCTTACGGCGAGACTATAATTCGCTCAAGCTTTCTACTGGATAATCTAGCAAAAAGGTCTTGTTGTGTGAAGCACATGGCTCTATCCTTCTTTTAAGATCAAGAGCCCTGTGGTTTTTTGCTTTTAGGAGCAGAACAGTCTGCCCCAATCCCAATCAGGCCAAAAATGGCGTGGCGGGAGTCTGCGTCGTTAGGGTTTTGCGTCACGCTTACGGTCTGCCTGTCTATCCTCTCTCCAATCTCTTCGCTCTTTTCGACAGTGCGCATGTGAGCCTCGAAGCGCTGCGAACGCGCAATCAACCCCAACGTTTTGGCCTGATTCCGACTGGAGCAGACTGTATAATATCACTGAAGTAGGAGAGGTCAAAAATGGATTAAGCCATTTTTTTGTACAATTTAGCATTTGAAGCTATAAATTCTTAGATAAATATCCTTCGGAATGACTCACTGGGTCTTTCCTTCCCTCAAAATCAAGCTCCCTTTGCTTTTTATGCTTTTAGGAGCATAAGTACGATTTGCGCGAAGTAAGGGCGGCCAGAAGTGATTTCAAACAATTTTACTACAATTTGGCAATGAAACCAAGAAATTCTTGGCAAAGATGTCTTGCCGCATGAAGCCCATGTGTCTCCCACCTTTGAGACCACACTCTCTGCTTATTTGCTTTCAGGAGCAGAAGTATAAATTTCGCGAAGTAGGAGCTTTAGCCTTGAAAACAATGAATTCTTAGCAGAAATGTTCTGCGGTAGTGCGACCCTACGGGTCGCTAGTAAGTGGATTAGGACATATAAATACATTGATAACTGCCGCGTGCAACTAAGAATAGCAAGGAAATGAATTTTCATTTTCTCAACAATCTTTGGCGAAGTGTAAGTAGAGTAGTAGTAGATGCAAGATCATACTATCAAGGAACCTTTTGACAATTGGTGATTTCCAAATTAACTATGTTGTTCTTCCTGCAAATACCCTGCCCAGATCACAGATTCTAAACATGGGAATCACCTTAGCTGTCATTTATGTAGAACAGCTGATTCAACCCGAATCAGGCTCACACACAGAAACTGCGCAACGGTTGCAAACACACCGACCTTCGCAGTCCTGTACTCTCCTTATAATCTCTCACCAAAAGATGGTCATTTCTTAAAAAGAGACTAAAACTCGTCGAAGCTTTCTCTTGAACAATCTTAACAAAAGTGCTGCCGCATGAAGCCTCTGGTTCTTCTTTTCCCTATGACCAAGCTCCTATAGCTTTTTTTGTTTTTAGGAGCAGAAATAAGATTTCTGCGAAGTAGAAACTGCCAAAAGTTCATTCTCATTTCTGCAGTCGCAGCAAGTAGTTGGTTTACAAGCTCTATTCCTAACTTTCTACCTAGTAGGTTCGAATCCTAATGTGTTTTTCAATTTTGCATTGCCTCAATTAATCTTTCTAAAGGTTAGGCATCCTCGAAGTAAATGCATGTCTTAAAAAAACCAACAAAGAGTCACTTTTTATTTGAGTGTTTCCTATATTTATTCTGAAAGGTGTTTACATAAATGAAAATGAATGGAAAATCATGTCAAACACAGTGATGAAAAACCTATGACAAAGTGATTAAAACGTAAGAGATGCTCGCAGTGAGCGCACTGCATAAAGAATAAGTCGTTGCAGTTGGCTTTCTCGCACTCACACTTCAATTTACGCGAAAAGCAGTATTGTACTGGGGCTTAGAATTGACCAGGATGCTCATCAAGGTAGCCTGCGGCATACCACAGGTGCTATTCGAGTAAATGCACTCGAATTATGATTAATAGATATATTTTAAGCAAACAGCAATTTTTTCTCCGAATTTTCCATATTTTTCTCGAGGATGCCTATTTTTCAAAAAGAACATTAATTGAGGCAATGCAAAACTGAAAAACACAATATAATTCGAATCTACACCTGCATCAACTTATGAGACTATTGTTCTAACCACTCCACCACAGCCTGCCAGAGGTATCTGGCACTCCGACCGTATTTCCCTCGGGCGGCCAAACTTGGCTCAAAAATCCTCCATAACTCCTTTCAGAAAAATGATCAGCAGAAAAGGAAGTCAAATTCGGAACTGGCGTTTCGAGACGAGTATAATGGTATACATATCATCTCAAAAGGCCAAGGATCGTTCCCTTGTAAGGCTGGTTTTGAATTTTTCATTTTTTTGGGTCATCAATCAAGCTTCTTTGCTAGTCAATCGATATCGCGCCATCGCTATGCCCGCTCCGAATAACAAGTCTCAACTTGTACAAACTCGTACTCGGAAGAAGCCTGATCAGATGCCACCAACAGATCACGTTGTTAAAGGCAGTGTCCAGGCAAATCTGGTCGCATGACTCTTTCGCCTGGAAATTGATGAGGGCTTCCTGACTAAGGCACTGGCCAAGGGGCAGCGCAGATTGTTCAATCACGGCTGAGAAATCCGTCCACGTAAACCCCGCAGCTGCGCCGTGACCGTTACCCAAAAACGACTTCGCTCACTTTAACACTACGTTCGGCTGGGACCAATCTTAAGTGTTACGGTCACGGCGCAGCCGCGGAGTGTTTGTAGATGGATTTCTCAGCCATAAATGCATTATTTGCGCTGCGGTTTGGGCAGTGCCGCTTTAGCCAGAGCCTCCACGACAGTTTCCAGGCAAAAACCCATATGCCCAGATTTGCCTGGACACTGCTTTTAAGAAAGATATTCGTAATGATGTTGATTTGAATGATCTATCCGTGAGTGAAATCATTGAAACGATTTTCGAAAAGAACCGTGATCCACTCATTGAGAGATTAGCGCTGGCCCTGAAAGGAAAAATCCCGAAAGATGTTGAGACAGAAAAGAGAGAAAGAAGTGTGGTGGTGGCGGGACTTTCCGAGGCCCCTCCTGGGCAGGCGATATTGAGTAGGAAAGAGCACCTTGAGGGAAGAGTGGCCCAAGTTTTGGAAATTTTGGGGGTCGATTGCTGGCCCACAATATATCGGAGATGGGTAAAGTTGTCGACGGCAGGCCAAGACTTGTGAGGATCATATTTCCCTCACGCATACCCTCGATACATAGAGCCACGTACTCTGGTAACCTTCACTTTGAGGGCTATGAGGGGACACAACCTTCATCTGAAAAAAACAGAAGTCATCCGGGGCTTCGCCCCGGCTGTTAACATCCTGATTATATCGGAACGAATGTCAATGAAGCAAATATATGGAATAAAACCTTTAGCTTATCTTAGCGAAACCGAGAATTTGCGTTTTCGTAACATTTTTTATCTTAAAAAAGGGTTTCTGTGGGATTCTCGCCAGAATTCAGAACAAAATTTCTTAGTTTGCTTAACTTTCATTTGAACAAAATCGAGTATCAGAAGTTTAGGGAAAGCTAATTGGAGTTAAATAAGAACGAGAAACTGCGCCTAAATCTTGCGCAGAGAGTTGCGCACGAAAACGCTGGTCTATCTCGTCAGTGAGTGATTTTTGAAGCTTGAGACGTTGTCAGTTCTCCTCTTCATGTCATGGCGACCAGAATGGTATATAATGTTGTAGGGTTTCGTTGAGATCCCGCGGAGATCTACGACCATAGTCAAATGCCCCGTCGGCTCTGGCCTGTCTGCGCTGCTCGTCTGCGTCTCCGCGCGCTGCGCGCTACCTCGCTACCCCAAACGCGGGGCGCTGGGCATTTGGCTCTGGTACCCTTTTCTTCGCTGTTTCAAATCCAAATCTAGCAAGCTATATATCATTTTGAAGCTCTTAATCTCTATTTTCACGCTGACAACGTCTCAAAACCACATTTTTTGACTTCGTCGAGAAATCCGGCAAAAACGTTGTTTTCGAAAATCTCTTGTTTTCTTCTAGTTTAACTCTTTTCATGTGGTTTTTTCATGCAGTCTATAGATCTTGCTTCTGTTCATAATGCAGACAACCATCCAGCCCTTACCTCTTGGATTATAGTGGAATTTTTTGCGAAAAACCGAAAGTGCGTTTTTCTTTACCTTGTTCAGTTTCAATGCTTTCGCATCGATTTTTTCCAGCTTGGGCGATTGTTGCTCAGAACAATAATCACGACAATCCTGGCAACGTCCCAGGAAACAGGAGCGTCAACGCGGGGGTAAAAATTCGAAGACGCATCAACTCAGACACTCGCGGTTGACTCGCGCAGGGCAAAACGAGGTGTAGCCATTGAATGCGTGGGCGACTCGCGAAATCGGTGTCGCGGCAAAATCAGGACACCTGATTTTGTGTCGCGGCAAAAGTGCGCGGCAAAATCGGGGCAAAATCAGGACACCTGCGCGAGACACCAAAATGTCGCGATCGTTCAGAGCACGCGGTCTACGCCCTTAGTGAAAGCTTTTTGCGTTCTCTAAGCGCTCTCTCATGCCTTCCTTTTGACTTACCTTGAGTCCTTTGTCACGCTGGGTCCCGTTTACGCTTGTTTCTTTTCTGCTGATAAAACCCAGTCTTACGTCATAAAATTTATTAACAAATACCGCATGATCTTCTCGAGTAGAGTTTACAATGACATGGAAATGATATGCACAGTCAGCAGCAATTACAGTATTGAAAACACCACAAAAACGACACATTACGAAAAAACTACGACTAAGAATGAGAACAGCATCAGTCTTCGACTACTTCAACTTCGTCTTCGACGGTTTCAGTCTTCTGGATCACTTCGTCTTCTTTAGTAACAGTGCTGCCTTCGACCATGACACGCTTTTTCTGAAAATGAAAAATTATTGTTACTAGGATCGTATAAAACAAATGAATCACCTTTGATGGAAGGAGCATGGCCCTATCAGGGTCAAAATGATACCTTCGAAGGTCTTCCCTGCAAAATTATAGTTCAGAAGTATCGCTTTCTGTATGAGAAAACTCACAAAGCTCTCCCTATTGCTATCCTCGTTTTACCGCTCCAGATTACTCTTTTCTCTGAGAGGACGTGGAATAATCTTTCGCGAGCGTCGTCATTTTCGGCCAAGTCCAACCACCACCTAAATTCTAGTGGACATGAAGGTCTTTCGAGAACATACATACTTATTTGGATTCCGTTTGTGCTCATCTGGCGTCCTCAAAAGCTGGTCGCGGTGTAGGCCAAGAGCGTCAAGGATGAAACCTAAATCAGTTATTGAAAGTAATGTACTCAAATACACATTGACCCACTTATTAAGAAATCGACTAATCCTTCCGGGAGGTCCTTAAGATGGTCAAATTTTCCCTTCTTTCCGCTCTGTCTACAGGCGTACTGTTGAATTTTCGTAGGTGGTTCGCACGCCTAAACGGTGATTACAAGACAACCTTATCATCTTCATCTATTTGTCGCTTACATTTAGAAAGAAGTGTCGCATAAAGTCGAGCACCAAAAGGAAATGATCATGGTCATGCGCGCGTTCCCACATCCGATAAGATGTAGCTCGATGCGAACTCGTTGAATGAAAGGTGCTGAGGCTCTATAAGCCGTGACAAGGCTCTACAAGCCGTAGTAACAGGAGATAAGCAAAACATGACATCTTGAAGAAAAAACCTCGGTTTTGATTTCAATGAGCTACTGAAAATCCCTCAAAAGTCAGCATCTGGGGTGAGTACGAACTCGACACTGTCGGCGATGAGCGCCGCACACCCCACAAAAATAACTTCACTTACCTGGCGAATGCTGCATGATATGATATAGAAAGTATACTATAATATATGACTCCCTCCATGAGCAAAACAACAGCAGGCGTGGACCAGTAGATGTTCACAGCGGACAACAGCACTCAAAACTGCGCTGACCAAATACATCACATTGAAAACTGAAGCACCCTATATAGTCAAGTGCGCTTTCGAATATATGTACAGATGCTTCTGAACGTCCTCACCTTATACTCCTGAGTTTTCCCATATTTCGCCAGAGGGTCTAGTCGTTCTAGTACCTTCAACATTTCTCCAAATGCATACAGCAAAAAAATGGTTATTTGTACTTTTATTCTGTTTTCTCACTACTGGATGATTCTTGTTGTAAAAAGCCAGCATACTACAATACAAAATTGTAGTTTGCAAAAAGAAAAGGAGTAAGAAATTAGACAGCCAAATTGCGTAAAAAGTATTTTCGTGACAAAGTAGTCTCGCCGCGAAAATAATCATTTTTTTGCAAAACAAGTCGGGAATCCTGACTCTACCTAACCTTTCCAACCATTGACAATATGCCAAGCAAACACAGAGAAGCCACTGCTTTTGAAAGTGTGGAAAAGTTGGACTCGGCCATATATTAGGCGTTACCGCTGTAATCACCAGAGGGTACTGGTAATGGCGGAACAGCAGCAATGCATGGTCGGACCCCTTTGCTAGTTACATTTCCACTATTTTTGTCTCTTTTTTCACAGAATTTGGAAACAGCCAAGTGTGAGCATTCATAACAATAAATTCTTACGGTAGTCTCTGAAGATCGCGGCAAAATATTACCTTCCTTCAAACACAATTCACACTATTAAACGGCAATGTTGATAGAGAATGATATAAAAAAAAGTTAAAAAATCACTTGGGGAAGAAATGATAGCCTCACAAATAAAAAGCTCACCTCATTTTATCGCTATCAAAGGGTGTTTCAAATAAGTTAGCAGCAATATACAGGGTGTCCCAAAAAAAATGTATCGAACGTTTGATCGTCAATATCTCTCTTTCCAAGAAGTCTTTTGCCTTGCTTCAGGTACCGTTTAGTAGAGCTGGCTTCAACTTAGATTTGCATTTTAGAACGAACCACCCATCTCTCTTATTACTGTAGGATTACGGTAGAAACTTGGAACGTATGGTGTCACTGTGGAAAAAGCTGCCGTTTCAAAAATTTTCAAAAAGATGTGAAAACTTGTGTAATAGGGTTTTTAGGGACGCTGAGTTCAATACTCAACTATTCACAAGATTGCGAAGCTTTCTAAACGGTGTAACCGCATTTTAGGAACATTGAAAAAATGGCCGCTACCTCTTACCTCGCATAACTCTTCAATGAAGCATCATAATAGGTTGGGAACTTTACAATTAGAATCTGCAACTTCAATTAGCCTAATGTTAAAGTTTTCAGGCTGTTTTGTTTCCTTTCTGGGGCAAAATGTGGCCTTTCATTGCTTAAAACCTTCTTTGAGGTTTCTACCGTAATCCTACAGTAATGAAGAAAGATGAGCAATTCGTTTTTAAATGCATATCTAAGTTGAAGCCAGCTCTACAGACTGGTACCTGAAGCACTGGAAAAGACTTCTTTAGAAGAAAGATATCAACGATCAAACGTTCGATACATTTTTTTGGGACACCCTGTATGTATAGGCACATGCCGTATGTGATGGGAGTATCGGTGAGAGTGACGCATCCAGGAATGCCATCTCAATAAAGAAACTTTACGAGTAAAAACACACAACACAAACAAAGAACGTCACCTCGATCAAAAACTTTGCCATATGATGCATTCTCATGTCGAATTTCATCTCCTTGCTGAATCACCGCAAAATGGTGAGCGAATGTGGGCGAATCTCATGAGATTCGCTGAATATGTAAATTCAGCTAATCTAGAAAAGTTATCCCGAGCATCAGAACAAGCTGGCAACCAATGTAAGCCAGTTCAGCCTAGAACATGGAAGTTTAGTCATGTCAAGAACTTTATGGTGTTTATGATTGCTACCTGTCGAGTACCGGTAATAATTTCTTCGTCTTGCTTCAACAAAAATCGCTCGAAAGTTGATGTTGCGTGGAGAGCGTTCAGCGGGAAATCTTCAGCGTCCAGTGTCTCCAGATCATGGGCAAGAGTAAGCAGGAAGTCAACTAGTAGTGTGCATATCTGAAAGACTGAGACTGTGCAGAAATTTTAGAATTTCGATCTTCCGTTACGACAAGGCTCACCTCCTTAGATATCTTCAACAAACACACAGGAATGAAATCGAACTCTAAGAAGGCTATGACGTCTCGCCATATGTTCAGCTTCTCTTCAAAAAAATCGAAATAGCCGAAATAACAAGTCCATGTGAGTACCCACTAAGTACAACTGCTCGCAAGATCTCGAAAAAGTTCTCCAAATTTCCTTCGGCTAGCTCTTCGTTATTCACACCATTGAAACACGTAGCAAGGTGGTTGAAGTGTCGATTCCACAAAATCCTGCCTGGCTTCCTAAACAGCTCAAAAGTCGAGCTGAAAAAGGAAAAGCAAAAGATAGTGTGAGAGGTCATAGCGGAACTGGTAGGAATAACGAAGGGTCAAACAACGAAACCGTGGCAAGAAAATCTCCCGATAATCAGATAAAAAGTTGGAAGCACATGGTAAGATAACATTTGATTGACTTTCTACACACAAGTAATCTCAAAAATATCGAGTTAGAAAGTGTTGGGATCCACTGTTTCAAGCAAAAAGATTGAAAAACAATGGAAAGCAAAGTGCTGAAGCACCCTCCCCCCCGCAATAACAATTGAAAGAGTAATTCAAATCGAAAGGAAGAGAAGCAAGAAAAGCTAGGAAGAATTGACCTATACGTGCGTTATTTCGAAATCTTCGCCCGTCGCGGCAAAATCGCACTAAAATCGGGGCGAAACTAAAACGATGACTCGCGCCGGTCCACCGGATTTTGCTGCGAACGCCCATTTTGTGGGCGGATCCCCTGCGCGAGTCAACCGCGAGTGTCTGAGAAAAATCAAAACCCCGTGTTACGAATTGCTGGTCCTGGAGCGAAGACTTGCATTTTGAAAAGCCGCCAAATGAATGATTTCAAGCCTCATTGCAGCGTTTTTACCCTGTTTTCAGCAGTTTCTTTTGCTTTTTACATCTGTTTTACGTCAATTTTTCTTCTCTGATCATCTTTAAACAACCTTCACTATTTATGACGTCAGATGTTCGAACAACCTTCACTTTTGACGCCCTGTCTCTAGAATATCGAAGGTATGCCCTCACGGCATTTTGGTCGCAAGCTTTAGCGAATTCATGTCGGTTAAGAAGCTCTGCCCTACCCAGTGTCTACCTGCGCAGGCGTCGCCGACCTACGAACAGGCTAAGGCGAGGAATCGAGGAAAACCATCAAAAGAATGGGTCGTCTACATTGGAGAACTCAAAGCATATCACACTTCTTCCAAGGCGTCCTTTGCAAGGAAACGCATAAACATGCAAAGTTTACTTGATCATATCTTTTTTTATCTAGTTAACTAACGACCCTAAGGGTCGCTAGCAAGTGGGTTGGGGCCGATCCGTTGATACATACCTTCGAAAGCCATTGTAAATAGGTTTGAACTCATTTCATTTTCTGAACGACTCGCGAGTTGTAAATAATACAGTGCTAGCCATAATTATAAAGACACTCTAGAAACTGTCGTAATTTGCGTTCTTGTCGACGAATCTGTCTGAAACTTTGCTATTTGGTGCGCATGTTAGCCTGCCACGACCCCTCCAAAACGGCTTCCGATTTTGTTGAGTTTGAATGGAGAAATTTAGAAAAATTCGAAGAAACCCTACCGAAAGCTGAACAAAATTAGAAGGACACTTGGATTTTTTTCACCCTATCGCATGCCCTGACTTTAAAAATTTTTTGTGCAGTTACATACTACAATATGAAAGATTTACAACATATGCAATCGGTCATCCTTCTCAAAAAGAATTGTTCACTGCATTTTTTGCTTTCAAAAGCACCAAAAGTCAATTAGGTTCAACAAACAGGTGTTTTGAGGAGTTTTCAAGCCTTTATTCATTTCAAATGATAGTCATGGAATCCACTGACCCTTCTGGGTACATGAGGTGAAGAGCGCTTTCGTAAACTCTGCGGGACGGACAGCCTCCATCCTCAACATAGGCTTGTCACGCTTTTGAACTGCAAAACTCAGTTTGCAATGTCCGTAAACTGCTGAATTTGATCTACTACATAGCCCACATGGTGATGCAGCTTTCGCAACAAATTTCAGATTTTCCCTAATGATGCGGTAGCGATTAAAACCTGAAATATTTTCCACGAAAATTTTCTGTGAGCAATAGTTCAAGATAATCATAAATCTCACTGTTTTCTTTTTTGTTTTATGTTAAGTTCTACCCAAAAAATGAGATTAGCTAAGATTTTGAATTTCTAAGCGGTCTCCTGTTCTATCTCGTGATCTGACTTAGCTATGATTGTGCAGGGTGCTCCACTTAACATTCAGTGGATGACAACCGCGGCTGAACTATTATGCCAACCGAAATTTTTCCTAACTATGCACACAACTTTACTTTTGTACAAACGACGTAGTGGCCACATTACAGTATTTTCTGTCGCTTGTAAATTGTGTTTTGTGGTTTGAAAGCGTGACAAACCTATGTTGAGGTTGGGTCTGTCTGTCAATATCAGCGATCACGCGAAGCTTACGAAAGCGCTTTTTAACTCATTTATCGAAAAGGCTCAGTGAATTCCATAACTATCATCTGATTGTGAGATGAATAGAAGCTTGAAAACTCTTCAAACCAGCTGTTTGTTGAAGCAAATTGACTTTTGGTGCATTTGAAAGCAAAAAATGCAGTGAACAATTCTTTTGGAGAAGGATGACCGATTACATATGTTGTAAATGTTTTATAATCTAGTGTGTAAGTACAAAAGATTTTTAAAGTCAGGGCATGCGATAGTGTTAAAAAACCCAGGTGTCTTTATAATTTTGTCCAGCTTTTGGTAGGGATTTTTCGAATTTAACCAAGTTTTTCCATTTGAACTCATCAAAATCGGAAGCTGTTTTGAGGGGTCATAGTAGGCTAACATGCGCACTAAACAGCAAAGTTCCAGACAGATTCGTGGACAAGAGCGCAAATTATTATAGATATGGCCAGTACTGTACCAGGTTGACTAGTAAATAAGTTCGGTTACTCGCAAATTCGAAATTCCATAACAATTCAGAAGCAGCTATTGCGTAAAGGTTTATTGCGAAGAGGTAGCTTTAGCCTTCTTCTCTTACATATCACGTAGTCAAAAATTTTTATCGTCGAAAGATGACAGTTATATGCTCTTATATGGTCCGACCTCTGAAAAATCGCTTTTTTGAATTTCTATTCGTTTTTGGCCAGTAGTGAGTGATGAATTATGTGGCGGTTAAATATATTAGGTCGTTCCGAAAGTAATGTCGCTTTTTTCGAATGAAGGCCACTGTTCGTGGGATCAACATTTTCAAAAGATCTTAGGAGCATTCGATGCAGCATTATATCTTCTTTTTAATGGTCCTAATTTCACTGCATAATGTTCAATGAGCCCTCGAAAAATTAGCAAAATCTGCGACTCATGCTTTTTGCCATGGTCAAGTTCGGCTATTTTTCTAAGTTTTTGTACCTAATCTCCGAAAAAGTACAAGTGACAGGTAGAGAGAGCAAACACTATAGAACACAAAGTAATGTTTTTCTTTTTCTTGGCTTGCTTCTCAGAGCTTCTACAATCAATTTCTCAATGCCATCAAATTCCATAGTTAGTCAAGTCAAACCTCACAGAACAACAACCGGCAAGCGACTCGGGTGTCATTCGATGCAGCTTTTTCTCCACTTTCTAGCGGTTGTTTTTTGTTTCCGATTCATCAATCCGGGATAAAATCTCATAATTCAACTTTTCGAAGGGAACCCAAGGTGTACCTGAGATTCTCAAAAGTTGCTAAACCGAAGCGGTGAATGCTCGTTTGGTTTAAAAAATTGTTGCCAAACCATAATCCATCTTTGTAAGTTTCAAAATCCGAAGACTTGCTGGCGTTTGATGCACTTATGTCTGAGACGAGCCTGCTAAAATTCGGTGGTTCCATCAAAAAATCTGTACAAAAATTATGACGAGCCCTGGAAAGTAGAAAAAAGGTGTGCTGTTTCCTGTAGGGTTTGCTCCATCCATCTATTACTTGGACTCCTTCTGAGGTTTGTTATAAAATTTTAGAAAAATGTGAAACTTTACCTTCTCAAAAAGCATGGGTTGCAGATTCTGATAAGTTTTTCAGAGGCTATTCAATTTTATACGGTAATCATATAACCGCTAGAAAGAGAATGAAATGCTGCATCAAATGCTACCAGAATCTCTTACACATCTTTGTTCCACGAGACGTGGCATACGTTTGAAAAAAGCGACATTACTTTCGGAACGACTTAATATAAATCCTCTGGCTACATGGCGAACTACAATGGAGATTGTGATCTGCTGTTTGTGATTGGAACAGCAGATCTGGAAGTCATTTGGAAGTCATTTTATGAGCATTCAAGATCGCTTGAATCTGACCATCTGGTCGTGGGAGTTGTTTGAATTTCAGAATTTGGTGTGTGACGGCAGTTGTGCATTTTACGCTCAACTTCGATTCGTTTTCGGAGCATTATTCTCCAAAAATCAGGTAAAAAGATGTGACTATCTAACTTTTTCACATCATTGTCAAAATATAAGGTAGCAAACCATTCAATTCCCCTTGATTTCCAATGGTACCATACATTGTTAGCAGTGCCGGATTTGAAACTTACCTACATGGGTATAAAAATGTGCAAATGACTTGTTCAATTTTGTAAATAATTCAAATATTTTTTAAATTTTTTAAAAATTCAAATTAGCCTTGTAAAAAATTTATTTTCGGGGTATTGGGTCCGAAAAAACCTTAAGAAGCACTCCAAAAATTTTTTCGGAGTGCATGACTAACGCCACGCACTTCATTTGAAAAAAAATTTTTCCGCCCTTCCCCCCGGACGGAAACTGAGACCGCCACTGACTGTTAGATAAATCAAATTGTAACTTTGCTGCAAACTTTAAAAACGACCGAACTTATTTTTCAGCCAAACTGATAGTACAGACAAGATACTACGCTTTGAAAGTATTAAGTTGTCCGAAAATTAATGCCCGTTTTGAATTTTAACCGCAATAAGTCATGCACTCCTCACTTCTAAATGGGTTACAAAGTACCATTCGATAGAGCAAAGCAAGCTCTATAAGAATGCAATTCTACTTTTGCAACAGCTCTCATCCACCTCGAGTTTTAGCCAAATAAAAAGACTCAGCAGCCGGAAAAATCGAAAAAAATCGTAACTCAGTTTATAAAAACCTTACAAAAATTCTACTTGCTCATGTGAACACTATTCACATAAAACATCCATATACGCCTTTACCGTATTTTTTCCTCTGTTAGGAATCAAGAAAACGGAAATTTTCGTGCATTTGCCAAAGTGGTATTGTGCAGTTCCCACATAGGTATTTGTGTACCAAAAGCCTGCAGAAGTACAGACTTAAATTTTTAGCTCTCTACAAGCTTTAGTTCTCGAGAAATACCGAATATAGCTTTCCCTAATTAGGTGGCCCAAGCTAAAATTCAAATTTCTCGAGAGCTAAAGCTTATAGAGAGCTGAGAATTTACGTTTGTACTTCTACATTCGTAGTATACATCTACTTATGTGGGGATGGCACAGCATCACTTTGGCAAAAGCATGAAAATTTCTGTTCTCTTGATTTCTAACAAAGGAGAAAATACGGCAACGGCGTACATAGATGTCTTATGTGGATTGTGTTTACGTGAACAAATTAGAATTTTTGTAGGATTTTTAGGAACTGAGTTACAATTTTTCTCATTTTTTTTAAACAGTTGAATCTTTATAGTTTTTGGCTCGAAACTCGGTGGTGGATTAAAGCTGCTGCTAAATCAAGATAGCCATCTTGTAGTGCTTGCTTTGTTCTATCGAATGATGTTTTGCAACCCACTTGGAATTGAGTGTGTATGACTTATTGCGGTTGAAAAAAAAACAAACAACCTAATAGAAGCTTTCAATACTCGGAAACTCGGAAAACACCGAATTCCGTCTTTACTATCATCCTCGCAGAAATCCTATTCCCAAAACCTTCCAGTTCCTAGATCTAATCACTGGAAGTCAGCAAAGATATCATCTCTACTGAAGAACTGCTGCTTTAGATCAAAGCCCAAATTGATTTTATGGACATTGTTATGCCTTGAAAAGCTTGTCCTTTGAAAAAGAAGCGCAAAACTGTAGTTACAGTGATATTTTCCGCCAGCGGGACCAAGTACGCCCTAATCTTTTCTCCTTTGAGGGCAAAAATAGAGAACTCTTAGGGCCACATGCACTAACATCGCCGCGGGGAGGGGATCGCAGCTTAAAAGAAAGCTTCATTTTTCGAAACTCCAGGTACCTGGATTTCACGTTGTGTACCTATCCGTAAGTATTACTACTACCCTTCACTATGAACATGTTGAGTAGGAGCGAGAAGTTGTACAAACCGCATTTTCCAGCTTTTGTATGATCTCTGATGATTCCCGGCGCTTTTCTTTAAAGTCATTTTTCTTTCTCCGAAGTTAACGAGAACCTTCCAAAGTTGTACTAAACATCTAACACAACAGTGCTAAGCACGTTGCTGATGAGAACGAATGATGTTTTGAAGTCATGAAATTTTCGATGATCCACAGGTCGAAATTTGGGGTTTACCGAAAAATTCGATTTTTCAAAAACTCATTTGTTCTCATCAGCAACATGCTTAGCACTGTTGTGTCAGATATTCAGTACAACTTTGGAAGGTTTTCGTTAACTTCGGAGAAAGAAAAATGACTAACACTTTGTCATGCCAAAACCAAGCATCTTTTTCATTCCTTCCTTCTCCCTCTTGCCCTCCCATCCCATTCACTGCATTGAACAGGTTCCCATCGCTGTTTCCTCCACCATTTTTTCGTGAAAAATACTTCCACCAAGGGTTCACTGGCCAAGTCATAAATTTCTATAGACTTCATGCTTAAGCTCGACCTGATTTGATGACCACGCTCACAATTTGAACGGAGCTATTTCAGTATCAGGCCCAAATTTGAAGTGATCCTGCCCAAACACAGCTGGGGGGGGGTACTCGACCTGCTGATGCCGGTTAACTATCATTTTCTCGCGGTAGCGCCCTTTTTGTGACTGTGAGTATTTAATAGGGGTCAAAATCACGGGCTTGCTGAAACTGGCTCAAAGGATTCGACATGCTGATCACAATATCGTTCTTTCTGCATTATAGGGCCCTTTCATAAAGTTACGCTAGGTTTACGAGGGGAGACAAAATCTTAACTTTGGCTGCAATTCGGTTGAAGGATTATTCTCATGCTGATCACAGACACCATACCTTCTTTACGTTTTGAGGACTTTTTGTGGATCTACGATAGATATATGGTTAAGAAATCAAAATCGTACACCACCCTGAAAATCATCTGACTTGCTCATTATAATCGTGCTCATTCCGCATGGCAAGCCTTTGGGTGAATTTGTGTGATCTGATTGGCCCGAAAGGAGAAAAAATGTTTGTCCATACGCTGCAAATTACCGTGAGCCCACAACAGGGCATTAATGCCGCGAGCAATTTTAATCTAATCAGGTTTTCTGAAAACCCTTTAAGCCGAAGTCTTGAGCAAATCTAGAACTACGATCCATCTACCTACACTCGCCGTGATAAAAAAACGGTGCTATATTGAGAAATCGCATGATATTCATGTTCAGCGGGCTAAATAACCCCCAGACAGAATCTAGAGCTTATTTTGGTTTCGACCCCATATTTTATACCCCGCCGCAATTCCACGAAAAGGCCCCAGAGTGCAGAAAGTGTATAATATTTGTAATCAGAAAGTCAGAAATCCCTTACAAGGAAAGGATACTCGGTGACCTTGCCCATTTGGAATGAGCTGTACACAATAAGATGCAACTCGAAACGCTGATTCCATATCTGTGTTCGATGTCTGCGGAACGATCTTCTAAAGGAAGTTATGGACTTTTTTCGGAGAAAGTTTGCCTTTTTGGGGAATTAAAATCACCAAGTTTATTCTCGCTCACCGTTTGAAGCTATTAAAGTGAATTTTGAAACATTTACTGTTGTATTATACCTATCTGAATAATATTCAGCATCTGAAAACGAAAGAAAATATTCTACTGATGATTTTGACGCTCCGCAATAGCGCAATTTATTTACGAAAAAATAACCATAACTCCATCAGATTATCGTTTCGCAGCCACGGTCATCAAGTATCCTTCCCTTGTTGAACCAAATTTCTGCCAAAATTGATTTTGACCCCTTACCGTATGAAGCGTGGCCCGTTTATGTGAAAAAAAAAGGTCTGTAATATTCGTGATCGCAGTAGACCAAGTTCTATCGAAATTCACAACTTTTATTTTGATTTTCGCCCGGATATTGAAATAACGCTGTTCGAACTCCCCCGCAAGCTTTTCCGTCTTTCCAGAGTTACAGACTTGATTTTTGAGAGTTGCTTGCGCTCATCTCGTAGAGGCACTAGGTCATGGACCTTTATGGCGCACGCCACATTCCTCCTTGATTTCCTCCCCCCCCCCCCACCCCGCCCACCCAATTAATAGTGGGTAATAACGAATAGTTGAGTGTAATTACTAGAGCCCAGTGAATATAGAACTGAATGTTGGGATTTGTAATTTTAGTGAAAGTATATAGAGTTCTTGCTGAAGATAATTTGACATTTTAATCGTCTCTTTCTTCATCAAGCCCATTTTTAGTATATTATCTCCTACCGCATTTTCTTCTATTTGTCATTTATAATGCATGATAATGCGATTACGATGGCGCACTCACAATAAACATAACTTATATTTGTCGTGTAACGCCTAAGCGAAAGAAGGGTAATAAAATCCTCTTTGCGTCTGATGTTATCCTGGTTGCGATTCATCCACGCTACGTGCTCCTGGAATTCATTTATGATACTTACTCCTCCGATAGTCGTTGTTCTGCAGCAACCCTTTGAGAAACTTTCATAAAATTTGTCATTTAAACTATATGCGGCCATGCGTTTTTCAACAAAATTTTCTCAAATAAACATTACTAGGCCTAGGACAGAGTTCACGAGGTTTGATCGTCGCGATTTAGTCGCTACAAGACGACTCTTACGAGTTCATTGTATGCCGATCTTCTTGTATTTTGGTCGTGATAGTTAGTCACGTTAGTCGTGTTGGAAAATTATCACAACCGACCTGCAAGAAGATCGGCATGCAATGAACTCGTAACACTTGTCTTTAGCGATTGAATCGCGACGATCGAATGCGTGAACTCTGCCCGAGCCCTTAGACAGATTTTATGAGCTTCTACGGTACTGAAAATTTGTTGACCGAGGTCCTTGGTAACCCAATATGACGACTCTCACACCTGATAGGCATTGGGCCGCTAGTTATGTACAACAGCTTTGTAGTGCGAAATTGGTAGATCAGATGATATACTTGCTTAACAATACTCATAAGTTAAAAGTAGTGACGATGAAAGTGTCAGCAAATTGACGATGTAGTGCACGAACATTTTTCCTCAGACACGCACGCTCAGACAATCGAAGGGATACCTTCGGCGGGCAAATGGCGCAAGTCTGTCACTTCGCGCTCTGGAGCGCTCCGGAGCCCTGCCATTTCACGCATTTTGGTGCTCCGGGGCTCTTCCAAAACTGGCGCACTTCCGCAGCTCCACCTCCAAATCTTTTTACATACTTCTTCCGGAAATAATTTTTCATGCATATAGTCTCGTTTTGGTGTCATAAATAATTTTTTATGCATATAGTCTCGTTTTGGTGTCATAAGATTATGTGAGCGCTGTAAACAAGCAATTTGTCTTAGCCCTGCTTTTAAATCGCGCGCACTTTTCTCCACACACAATAGAGCATGTCAATCGTGTGATAACCTGTCGGAAAAGCTTGTGTTCGACTAAATGGCGCTTATTCTTAGTGCTCGGCTCGACTCGTCAAAAACGACATCTCCTTTGCTTTTTGTTCCGAAAACGAAGTCTAGCCTGCTTCCAGACGATCTGTGCCAGGCCCTGGTCCTGGCACGTGTGTCAGTGATCGTTTGCAATCCGGTGTTACAAGTGAATCCAGTCATTTGAAAGTGATGGTTTCTTCGTTTCTTCGGTGGCCGTCTGTCGATGCTCGTTGTTAAGTTGGTTTACTCCCCGCATTAGGGTACCCAGTCTTTCCGGTATTCAGTCGCAAAACGTACTCGGATAGGGCCGTCTTTTATCTCAGGTTGTTTTTTCGAGCTCCTTCCTTGATCCGCTTGCTAGCTTGACGTTATCTGCTTAGAGGAGCGTCCACGGGTGCCGCAGCTGAATGCTACTCACCACATATTCATTAAATATGAAATGCAGAAGCGATAAAGCCGACCTTGATCCACTCATAGTTAGATTAAGAATGGCATCGACGTTCCTACTCCACAGTTTATGGCTCCCCTCGTGCTCGCATAAGAATAGTTAATCTAGCGAACCGTACTCCTCCAAGACGTCGCGTTTTCTTAATGCATATCAGGTTATTGCCTGGTACTAAGTACTTGATATAAACTCTTGTGCGGTGTCCAGAAAACTCCTCTTCAGACTGGTGAGCGCAAAGAATAGAATTTGAATAAAACATCCGAATGAAATCTATTTGTAATTTTTTTACTGGATTGAGTTTTTGAATTTGATTAGAATCCTGGTTTTTTGATTACCCTAAAATCCGTCATATAAGATCGGCTCGCAGTAAAGACCGCCTCGCCGATAAGACCGCAAAAGTGCTCTCAGTTAAGTCCGCTTTCGTGACAGCCTCGCGCGCCTCGCGCGCCGCCAAGTCCCGCGGATAAGTCCGCCTTATTTTTTTCACATGAAAACAAGAAGGATGCGCAATTGCGCTGCCTTTTTTGCTCTCAGAATGAACCGAAGCAACAGATCTTTATTCAGGTAGCATTCCATGTTCATAACAAACATTCATGGCAACAACTTGACCAAAAGAACGACCATCATTATCGTTATTATCAGCAACAATCAAAGCGTCGAAATCCTCGTTCATGCCTTCTATTATTGATTCGTCATCGAGAGCCTTGGTGAAACTGTTCGCAATGGTTTCTTCGCCTCAGAGATAAGTTCTTTCTCTTCATAAAGCCTTTGCACCACATCGCCGATGCCCTGAAGTCCTGGTGGCCAGATTCCCGCGCTAGCTGCAATGCCTTCTCGCGAATGTCTTTGACAAGCACTGCTCGGCTTCCTTCTCGCGTCTGCACAATCCATGCATAGAGAGCTTCCTCTATTTCCTCCACCTTTGGCTTCCCATGACGGTTGGCGCGTCTCCTCAGTGGCATATCCTCCAGATTTTCTTTATCGGCCTTCCATCTTCTAACCAGACCATCAGAGACTTCGTAGCGAACAGCGGCAGCCGATGTTCCATGTTCCAAGGCATATTGCACCACGTTAAGCTTAAAAAGCGCGGTGTAGGACTTCCTTCTGATAGCCATTGAGATGCGAGACACCTGAAAAGCTTAAGTCAAAGCATGTGAGACTATGCTGGAAATATAGGGCCCCGCGTGATTGTGAACTTCGCTGAGTTACCGGTCATTGCACACTGGAATCACGCGGAGTCCTATAAATTTGCGCTGGTCATCGAAAGGTTTACTCTTTTATACAAGGAAAAGCAGGCGGCATCAAATTTGACTACACTATCTTTTGTCTTGGATGTACAGGCTTAATGAAACAACAATTGAGGAAAATAACAAGGAAGCCTAATGCTTTGCTAAAGTTGAGCATTCTCAGACTGTCACTCTTCCGTTCAAGAAAGCATTTGACAAAAGCCGTATGGCATGGGTCAACAGAGACTACATTCAGAACATGAAAACAATAGAGGAAGCAAAAGTGTAGGAGTCAGGTTCAAGGGTTGTAGCCTGTACGGGTTCGAGAGATGTAGTGAAAACATTGTCGCCTCCAAAACGATAAGATGAATGATAAGTTGAGATGATTACAATGATGCAATGATGAAACCTATTATGATTCTTTTCATCGGCAGAAATCGCTCAATTTCATACAGGTGTCATATATAGGAAAAGAACTCACCTATCCAGCGTACGCGATGAAGAATCCGCGACGACCACCAAGTAGACTGTACGACTTGTCGAATCCTTGGGCTCTTTCTTTCAGGCGATATCGCGGCCTCGTTTAAATCTACACTGGCAAGCCACGCGAGCGGTCGCGCGCGTCTGTGCTCCTAGGTCGCGCTTGCTCATGCTCAGGACAGACGGACGTATCTGCGAGACGATTTAGGCGGACTTATCTGTGACACCCTTTGCGGCGTTTTTCCATCGATTTTCCTGCCAAAACTGCAGATAAGTCCGCTCTTATATGACGGATTTTAGGGTATTCGAGTTTCGAATTTTGTTCGAAAATGGAAAAGCTCCGATCAAATTTCGAATGCGATCATATTCGAATGTTTTATTCGAATGATCAATTTTATTTCATTCGAACCCAAGTACACGACACCCATCAACCTCGCTTTGCTTTGCTCGCATTCGTTCCACTAACACTGCATGTTTAAACATGTTGTACCATAGCCTCACTGATTTTCATTTCTATCGGTAAGTGTTGATTTATCGTACGGATTGGTCTTTTGCGCAGCAAGCTGCACACAAATAGAGGAAACGGATAGCTAAGCATTGAAAAGAATGGATCAAGACTTGCGCACAGAATAAATCTTTTGAGCAAGGCCTTTGGACTTATTCTACGTTTTTGCTACTTACCGTATGCCTGCGGTAACCCTGCTAGACCACCGCATGAAAAGTTTTGTAAACTTGTGGTCTGCCGAAAACCTATTGGATCAAATTTCAGCCATTTTTGTGATTTCATCCCACTTACCTTATCACCTGTATCACCTGTATCCTCGTTGATCATCGTGTTGCACGAGCGGGTACCAGTGATGCCTCCATTCGTCCCTGTCTCGGGCAATTGTTGACCAGTGTTTACGTATCGCACCAGGAACACGTGGAACGCTCTGAAGGACTTCATTAAAGGAGTTTGTGAACATATCTGACCATCGCGTCGTTGGTCTTCCTCGTTCGCGTTTGACGTCCAGTGGTATCCAATCTGTTACAGCTCTCGTCCACTGGTTGTCGTCGAAATGCACTACGTGCCCGGCCCATCTTATCTTGTTCTGCTTGGCGTACGCGGCAGCGTCCCTGATCTTCGATCGTTGACGTAGGGTGGAACTTCGTAATTCTTGCCTCACTTGCGTGAGTCGATTCACTCTTAGCATCATTCTCTCAACAGCTCGTTCGATGACGCTAACCGCCTGTTCATCCTGCTTTCTCATCGTCCATGTTTCTGAAGCGTACGTCAAAGCAGGAAGAACCGTCGAGTTGAAAAGGTGGGCGCGGAGCCGGATGTTCTTGGTCTTTTTCACTACGTCCTCAATTGTCTTATATGCTCCCCATGCTGCACGTTTCCTCCTGCTCAGTTCCGGAGCTAGATCGTTCATCATATTGATCACGACCTAGGTAAATGTAGCTTGAGCATTCGGTGATGTTCGTCCCGTTGAGCATGAAATGAGCATCAGGCACTCTTCCGTTCCTCATGAACATCGTCTTCGCTAGATTCAGCCGTAGACCGATCTTTCCACACACTTCGTCAAACTGGGCCAGCATTTGTTCCGCCTGCGTGATGCTTGGTGTTATCAATACGATGTCATCAGCAAAGCGAAGGTGGTGTAGCTGCCGGCCGTCGACTTTCACTCCCATGTTGTCCCATTCTAACTTTCGCATGACGTTCTCCAGAGCGGCACTGAATAGTTTCGGCGATATAGTATCGCCTTGTCGCACGCCTCTCTTGACGTCGACGATGATATCCTTCTAGAATGGTGTTATGGTGGTTGTGAAGTCGTTATACAGCTCACGAATTATCTTGATGTAATGAGTCGAAATACATTGATTGCTCAAGGCATCGATGACGGCTTCAGTCTCAACCGAGTCAAAGGCCTTCTTCAAATCGACGAAGGTGAGACGGAGCGGCATCTTATACTCTCGTGACACTTCAATGAGCCTTGACACTGTGTGTATGTGGTCTATCCTGAATCCTTTTCGAAACCCAGCTTGCCCTCATGATTGTCCTTCGTCTAACTCTCTTCCGATTCTGTTGAGAATAACTCGCGTAAAGAGTTTATAGACTACAGACAACAAGCAGATAGGGCGATAACTGCCGATGTCGCAGGAATCTCCCTTCTTGTACAGCAGCACGGTTTTGCTGGTCTTCCATTGTCTTGGAACTTTGCCTTCCGTCAGGTACCGCGTGAAGAGCCTTGCCAAAGTCTTGATAAGAACTGGCGAAAGATTCTTCAGATGTTCTGGCTTAATTCTGTCGGGATCGGGTGCTGTACGGTTCTTCATCGACATGATAGCATGACGAATTTCGGAAGGAAGAACAGACGGTGCGACATACTCGTCCTCCTTGAGATGACATGGTGGAAGGTGGACGTGGCCCGCAAAGAAATCCAAGTAGAAGTCGTGGATGACCTTCTCCATTAATCTTCGGGAAGCTGTTATGGTTCCGTCAGGACGACGAAGTGCGGTCATCTTTGTCTTGAAGTTGACGAAGCTTCGGCAGGCGTTGCGTTTACTTCTTCCAGCCTCTGCGGCGCCAACCATCACTGCTACTCTTCTCTCCTTGAGGTCTTCTTTTATCGCTTCTCTGCATCGCTTCGCAAGCTCGAACGTCACTCGGTAGTTGCCTGTGGCTCGTGCGCATCCACATTGGCGTATCAGCTCCAAAGTCTCCGTGGTAAGACGCCTTCTCGTATTTCTTAGACTGCTTCCTTGGCACAATCGTGGAGATGTTGTACAACCCGTTCGTATTCTTCGTCGATGTTGTCCATCACGGTATCTCGCCATGAGCCGGATATCGAAGAAAACAGATCCCAGTTGGTGGTATTCATGGGACGATGTTTCCTGAACTTGACGGCTCTCTCTCCATTCCGCGGAAAGTAGAATTTGGCGCGTAGGAGACGATGGTCTGATTCCGTGTAGAACTTCGGAACAACAGCGACGTCCGTCAGGCAGAGTACCTTCTGTAGACGATGATGTGGTCAATCTCGTTATGGTACTCTCCACCGGGCGATTCCCAGGTCCAGCGTCGGGAAGAGGGCTTTTGAAACTGTGAGTTTCCATGGATAGTCCTCGTCGTCATGATAAACTCGGACAGTCTCTCCCCCCCAAACCATGGGTTCCGATGTGAAGTTCCTCAGTCGACCTTCTAGTTCCGATCTTCGTGAAATCACCGACGATGATCCTGTAGAAGGTATGATCTTCTCTGTAGAACTTCTCCAAGTCCATACAGAATTCCTCGAGTTCGTCCTCGTCGTAGCTGGATAATTGGGGCGTACGCAATGAAGACGGTCAAGGCAGGGATTGATCCACATCTTTTATTCGCAAACGTCCGATTCGAGTTGTAAGTTGTTCGAACGAATCGATGTTCATGGCCAAACTCGTGTTGACAAGGACTCCCACTCCACCTACTCCTGGACTGTCGCATGTTCCTAGGAACAGTTCTTATCCAGTCTCAAATGTGGCGTTCAGCGTGGTGCCTCCTTGTCTCGGTCAGTCCGATTACGTCGTACTTGATCTTCCTTGCTTGCATCCTGAGGTCTTCGATAGATGCGTCCGATGCCAGCGTCCTCGCGTTGTAAGTACAAATCGTCATCATAGTCCGTCTCGTTTTCGGCAGCCTAGATCGCCTTTCAATCCTTGTCCCCACTGGCGCTGCCTTACCAGTAGCTCTTCCAAGATTAAAGGAGCTTTCCATATTATCACTGTTCGAACAAAATTTTGCTCGCAGGGATAGCTTGTTGGGCTCAAAACCCCCGCTAGGGACGATCGGAGCTTATTTGTTGGAGGCGACTCCGGACTCGCCTCCCCACACACCTACCCGGAAAATTTGAGTGCAAGCTTTTAGTGGAGGCAGGGAGTCCGTCTCCCGGCTCCGCTTGCTTATCAGAGCAGGCAGGCGTCGCTTTTGGTCGGCGATTATCCCCCTGTCCGCCACCTGGGGTCGCCCCACGTAGCCTCGCGACTAACCGGCTGTAATCCCTCTATGAGGGAGACTTACCTTATACCTACCGTAATTGCTCGACCCCACTGTACGTAGTAATCGAACTTATCATGATCTGCACCTCGAATAACCCCATTGTGCCATGTTTCAAGCAATTCTGTCACTTTAGGTCACCTACCAAAAACCTACCGTAACCTCGTCAGATGTCACATATCACTGCAGTATAAGATGGCTACACTTTCTTCTAAGTTTTTCATGTTACTTTAAATGAAAGTCGCGACATCTCGGAGTTTTTAGTGAAGAGCGACTTTTTAGCTGCATCTTTTCTTTTGCAAACTATTTCTCTTCCTCTGACCAGACTCAGAGTTATCTCTGAGATAGGTACATACATACCTTCGATAGTCAAGAGACAAGGGCTAGAAAGTGATAGTTGTTTGAGTTCTTACCCCCTATAAAAAGTGAAGGTTGTTTCAGAAAAATAGACGAAAATCTAGAGAAACAAATTAAATTAGAAAACTTAGAAAATTCATATAAAGCAGAGGTTAGCACATCACCAAATCTGAAACCTTAACTTGGTGGTTTCCTACGCAAAGTTTCGTCTCCAGGATTGCCGGTTAAATTGGGTGGCAACAACAAAGTTCTTTTCCAGTCAAAAAAAGCGCTGTTTAGCTGTGGTGTTAGTTGGGAGACCGAAAGAAGAAGAACTTGTCAACAACTGAATTGAACATGTTAAACATGTCTGTAAAGTTATGTTGCACATCGACGCCAATCTGATTTTTGATGCTTTTTTAAATTTTCACCCCCGCATAGTCGTTTCGTACGCTGCGACATTACCTGGATTCTTCCCCTCATCATTCTGAGCAAGTATCGTCCAAGCTGGAAAAAATTCGCTGCAAAAGCACAGAAAGAGAACAAGGTAAAGAAAAACGCACTTTTTTGTATTTTTCACAAAAAAACCGGCATAAGCAAAGAAGTAAGCTCGGCGACGTTGTCTACATCATAGGCAGAAACAAGACCTATCGAATGCACAAAAAAAACCGAGTGAAAAAAGTTAAACTGAAGAAAAAACAAGAGGTTTTCGAAAACGCCATTTTTCGAGGATTTCTCGTATAAATCCTAGTGAAAATAGAGATCAAGAGCTTTAATATGATATATAGATTATGGAAATTGGGCTCCGAACAA